AATCTGCTCTGAAGGGAATGACACATTATATTGTAAATCTTTGTTTTTTATCTGACTGATTACTCATTTTGTAGGTGAATTTCAAAATATGCACTTACATAATATATAACATTCACTCATATTAGCACTGAAATTCCAGTTTAAACAGTTTGAAGATTTTTAAGATTCTATTTTTGCTAATGAACAAATACCGCACCTTATTTAGCATTGAACAAAATAGGAGACTGAATTATTTTTTATTTCTTATTTAAGCAATACAGTGCTATAAGTAGAGCACTGCTTGATCATTACTCATTCAAGCAGTTTCTGAAGAGCATATGCCAACATTTTGTTCTACAGATAAGTATGCTATTTTTAAAACTAAAAATATTCTGATTTTCAAGCAAGCTGATTAGCTAAGGAATCTTCCCAAGAACTAAAATGAAACCAGCATATTTTCTTGAAATAAAATGATGATGAACGCAATGGGAAACAATGACTGACATGTAGGAATTAATTTACAAGTAAAAGTGTGAAATGTCTAACCTTTTATTTTTCTTTCCCTTCCCTTTTAAAGTCTTATTTAAAGCTGGCACATCGAAATAGGAATTTTTGTTTTGTTTCTTAAACACAGAACTCGTTTCTGGAATCTCTTCTAAATTCTTGAACTAATTTTTAGTTGTTCTAACATAAAATAGGATCATATTAACATATTTCCTTCAAGAGACCTGTCTTCATTTATAAAATGATTTGGTTGTCAAATGTAGCACAATGTGTTAAGAAATGAAGTGATAGAAGAATCAACAATATTACTTGAAAGATATATGAGACAGGAGAAAGCAGTTGCATTGAATTTTACTTTCCCTTTGTATGCTGAAGGGGCACAATGCTGATTGATGTTCAGGCCAAATCACTAGCTCTGTACCTGTATCCCTATAAGATTTTAAATAGCAATCGCATTTAGACTTATATACTACTTCACAGTGCTTTGCAGTTTACATAGTCAACATATTGCCCCCAATCATTTGTTCAGAATCTCACAAGAGCAAGAAGACTCTTGTGTAAATATTGATAGAGTCAACTTTGATGCACTGCTCTTTGAGACTGTAATCTACAGAGGCATAGAGAGCTTTAGATCCCTAACACCCTCCATCCTTTGCAAAACAGAAGTTAAATTTCCCTTTCTGGCAGATGTTGCTCTTTGAAGGCTAGAGATCTTTTCAGAGCTAAACAACTCACAGACTGCATGGGGTCCAAAATGCAGTAGCCTATAAATTGTTGTAGTCCCATAACATGCATTAGGTACAATTCTGGGTATAATGCAGAGTTGACCTTAAGCTACATATCCATATAAACCATGGCATTGAGTTATTTACGATACACAAATGTATGATCAACATGGAAGCAACCAATCCATCCAATCATACAGACTATCAGAAACTCCTGGTGATTTCCCAAATTTTAAAGGAAAAGAGGTAAAGCTGTAATCATTATTTCTCCATTGAAGTCAACGTAGTTAGATTAGTTAGATTGACCCCCTGAGTACTGGCTGAGACATGCCAAGATATTTACTTCCTAAGCGATAAGACTCATAAACCTATGTGTAGATGACAGATTTGCCGATAAGTAATTTCAGGGTTTGTAGTATATTTGTAGTACATTAAACTCTTCTGAGTGGTTGCAAAATGCTGACCCCATCCTCTCCTACACAGAAAAAAAGAGATTTGAATCCTAGGGTGAAAGGAATGTAAATTTAGTTCAGACATGGGAAAATATTATTGCCATACAGTCTCAGGTATCCTGATTCTCAGTTCTAAGTACAGAGAAACCCAATTTTGTATCCAATTGTCCTACTTTTATTTAAAACAATTGGTCTGTCAAACTGAAGTGATCTGACCAACCTTGCAACAAGGTATAGCGGCCCTAGTATTTTATGGCTGTTAGTTGAAATAATTGAGAATTCTTTTCTTGAAATGAACTCAAAAGGATTAAGTGATAAGCTTTTTTACTTTAGGCACCCTTGATGAGACAGATTGACAGAAAATTTTCAGTTCTTTCTAGAACAGCTTAGGGAATAGAGCAGAACATTATCATAACTACCTCCATGACAAGCTAAGCTTCCCACAGGTATGGAAAGAGGAAAATAGGCTGGCTGCAACATTCGACAAGCATGACAGAATGGGATCTCCAAGTAGAGACTGCCAGAAACTCGCTCAGTAAAGCATTTAACCCAGGCTCCAGTCAAAAGGATTTCTAAGAGTAAAGCAAGAAAGGTTTAGGTTCCTCCCAAACTTTTGAATTTTTTCTTCCCCCACAATTCTTCCCAGGGAAATTGAAACAGCTTGGCTCAGGAAATAATGGCAATAGCATTCATTCTATCTGGTTATATGACACCTAAGTTATGTACATGTTTGCCAAGAGGTCCAGCAGTGATCATGTTTTGTTCTTCCCTGTCTATTAATGCTTATTACTAAAACCAATCCTTTAAAGCCTTTGGAGCACCAATTGATTCTTAATTCCTATCTTTGCCTGTTTTCTACTATCTGTCTCATAGTCTCAGCACAAGCACTTTAATATATGCTCTCAAATATACCCAAATATTAATAAAGAGTTGAATTCTTTGTAGCGTAGAAGAAACAGAAATTAAAAAAAACCCATTAAGATGAAGAATAACTTTCAGAAAGATACTTTTTAAGCCTATACCTGAGACAGCTCCAAAACTCTACACAAAACTGGGAATACCTTTTGAAAGGACATTGCTTCATTTATAATAACCATATTAACACAGTCAAGATCAAATGCAGAAATGCTCAAAGAATGAAGGTAAAATGTATTGTTGGAATAACATATCTTACAAAGTAAACAGTACAGAAGTTGCATCCATGATATACACTGATATACATTAGAATAATATGAATTAAATAGCAGAGGAAGGGAAATTTAAAGAATATAAACTACTCTATGAATCCAGACTACACTTTCTCAAAAGTATTAACAAAAATCACAGGAATAAGTCACATTAGTTATTCATGCAATAGTTTGAAATGTTTTATTAAATATATTGTTACCAGGCAACAATATATGAATTAAATAGCAGAGGAAGGGAAATTTAAAGAATATAAACTACTTTATGAATCCAGACTACACTTTCTCAAAAGTATTAACAAAAATCACAGGAATAAGTCACATTAGTTATTCATGCAATAGTTTGAAATGTTTTATTAAATATATTGTTACCAGGCAACAATTCAGGCAACAAATAGTTTTTCTTATTCCATAACATAGTTTAAGCAAGCAAGACTTTGAAAAAATATTTTTCCAGTTATAAAGCCTACAACAGGCCTACAAGAAGTAATCATCACTAACACTATGGAACATATCCATAGTTAAATAAACCAAGCAACAATTCTTGTTACATAGTTTTGCCCAGTATTATTCTATGCAGATTGTTAGACTGAGCTTTAAAAAAAAGTAAATTGAGTAAAAAAAAGTATTCTGAGACAAAAGTAATTAAATTACAATTCCTGATTCAGCCTTACTTATTGTGGTACTTACAATGTGTTAGGAAAATGAAATAAAACTATTTATGATCTTTTAAGCAGGCCTGTAATTCAATATTGCTGCCTCTGATTGAAATAACCAGACTGATCTACGATTTAGTTAATTCAATTTCGCAGGAAACTAAACTAATATCTAGAGAGGAAGTGCCTAGTACACTTTTGATAACCATGAAATAAAAGCTCTTTAGCACAGGTGCAATTCACAAATAATTGCGAATGGAGAATTTCCTCATCTTCCTCTCTATATAAAAACAGATGTGTGTGTAATGTTCCAGCAGAATTCTGGAACGCCTCGAGCAACTTCAACAAAATTTGGTACACAGATGACTTACCCTCTTGGAAACAAATACTGTGGGGGTAAGACACTCCTAACACCCCTTAGGGGTGGGGGGTGGGGGTTGGTGCCTTAAAAACAATGGAGTTGCCATGGTAACGGGTTCAAAGTACTCCACAAGGGGGTTCCCACTGACATGATGCTGGGAGAGTGAGCTACTAGGCCTGACTAAAGAATAAGAGAGACAGTAGCCTCACAGACAGTACAATACCGTGAGTCCCAACTACAGAATTTTCCTGTCTAATACAAGATTGGCATAAATTAATACCCAGGCAGCGCCGGGTTATCAGCTAGTCTCTTATAAAGATGGCTAAGAGAGATTCCTATAATGCACAGTAAGAAATGAAAATATCCATTTATTCAAAACAAATACTAACTTAAACAGTTAAGACTGTGATTTGGATTAAATCTGAACATACATTCAGTTTTATCCTTATATGTGTCTAATAGTATTAACATTATCCTCTTATCTTCTTTACTACACCCTCTTATTTGTATTATTATTATGGTTATTATTTCTCTGTTGCTTTGCATGTACACTGAGAGCTTCTGCACCGGAGACAAATGCCTTGTGTATCTAATCACACTTAGCCAAAGTATTCTATTCTATTCTATTCTATTCTATTCTATTCTATTCTATTCTA